ATTTACACATTTATGTACCTAGGCTATGTGATAAATTTTATATACAATGCGTCATGTAGAAAAAGCCCTTCAGCTTCACCTCATGCTGTTACTTCTTTTAAATGTTTACTGTATACTGTGACGCAAACGCCCCGCCCTTTGCTTAAACTCCACCCCCGATTAATCGAGTACTCGTTTCTCAAACCTGTGGATTAGTCGAAATGAAATATGATCAAAAATGCCCATCCCTACAAAGGAAGCAGCACGACAAATTTATTCCAGCACCTAAAGCAGAGGCACAAAGCGGAGTGGGAGAAGTACAGCTCCCAGCAAAATGAAAATACCCGCAGCACCAGCACAACATACAAAGTTAAGCAAGCAACCGTCCCTGACACGATTTCGAACGGTGTGCCATATAAGAATGGGGCACGGTGGAAGGCGATAAACGCTGTCGCGATGTATATTGCAAAAGACATGGTGCCCATACATACTGTGGAAAAGCCGGGATTCATTAACATGCTAAAAGTTTTTATAAATTTCTAAAAGTGTTTACAATGACGTGGTCTGCCATCTCACAAGCATATTTTGTTTGGCACTTCAGAGTAAAAAAAACAAAAAAAAAAACAAAATAAAGTTAAAACTTTTGAACCATTTATTTGTCATCTATAGTTTGATTTTGAGTAGGGGATTAGGAAAATTGATTAAAATTAAAAATCTGATTTATTGTGAAAAAAATCAGATTTTATTTTTAATAATACAGTCGAACTTCGTTACAACGTACCTTGGGGGACATTAAGAATTTGTACGTTATAACCATAGTATGTTGTAACCAAGTCCCTCAAAATGAATGATAGAACACAAAATGTATATAAAAAACTTTTATAAAACACCCCTCAAGTTGACACTATGACATACAGCTTGTGTAGTTTGAAGAATATAGTTCCTATTCTAAATATGAATGCGGTATTGAATGGGTAACCAGTGAAAATGGTGTAGTACAGGGGTGATATGTTGCCTGGATTTGGTAGACGTGACAACACGTGCTGCAGAGTTTTGAACATATTGCAGCCTGTTTAGGTTCTTAGCTGAAATGTCAAATAGCAGGGCATTACAGTAGTTTAACAGAGAGGTTATAAAGGCGTGGATGAGTTATAGGTAAGAGAAGCACATATTGTAGATATGTTTTTGAGATGAAAAAAAGCTGCTTTGGTGATGTATTTGATATGAGAATCAAAAGAAAGTGTTGAGTCCATCATGACTCCAAGATTTTTTACTTCAGAGGTAGTAGTGGTCAAACCGCCCAGCTCAATAGCTAATTTTAGATTCATAAAGGAATGTCAAAAGCGTTGTGGTAGTTTGCAAACCCTGCAGAGTAGTCAAACTTCGGACTGCGAGTAACTCGGTTTGCGAGTGTTTTGCAAGACAAGCAAAAATTTAAAACAAATTTTAACTTGATAAACGAGTGAGGTCTTGCAATACGAGTATTATGTATACGCTTTGTCTGCCAAGCATCACATGATCACAACTGAGTCAATGGTTCTTCTCTTTCTCTTGTTGCGGGATTGTGGGTAATCGTTTCCCATGCTCGGTCTCAGTCGGCGTGCCTCACTCGTATAGTCAAAATTTTGTAGAAAAGCAGTGTGCATAAGGGCAGTGCGAGCGATGAATCTGATTAACGACAATGTTCACATTTCCGCGAAATGGAAAAGGAGGCAAAAGCGGCTGTCATTGGATAGAATCCTTGTTAAAGTCACACAAAAAGAAAAATATTCCAGTGAACAAACAGATAGCAGTGATTCCGATAGTTATAGTGAAAGTCGTCCTACAAAATAACCCTCCTCTTCTCCTCTTTCTCGTCTCCCTCACACCATCCATGATTCCTTTCAAAGGTAAAGTGTAGGTTGTTTTATGTACTTTTACTTTATATTTTGTATTAATCTATTATATATTATATATATATATATATTTTGTATTAATTTATATGAATATTTTTGGGTTATGGAACGAATCATCCGAGTTTCCACTATTTCTAAAGGGAAAATTCGCTTTGATATACGAGTGCTTTGGATTACGAGCACGTTTCCGGAATGAATTATGCTTGCAATCCGAGGTTTTACTGTATTTTCAAGGCAATGAGTGTGCATGTGTGTGCAGACTTGTTTCAAATTGAAATCTCACACCAGCCAGCTGACCAAAGTTGACATCCCAGAAATCAGTACAGCTGGATCAAAGCTCTGCACAGCTGCTCTATTGTGTGACAGCCAGCTCTCACCAGCATTTAATAAAATTTCAAGAACAGCGTACCGAGCAGCCCTTCAGAAACACCATACTCGAACGTTTTCTATAACGTTCCAGCATGGCTGATGCCTTGAAGGGCCTGGAGGTTGGGTCTCACTCACCATCCGGTAGTAGTCTTTGAAGGAGATGTCAGTGTCCCCCCTCTTGAAAGTGTTGGTGGGGGTCTGGTCCCACGCGATGTCGTCGATCCTATACATTTTATTGTTGTATCTGGTTAGAGAAGGACAAGCCCCAGCTAAGTACCTATATCACCAGCTTACAGTGAGATCAGAGCTCTGTTCTCTGGCCACTTTGCAGTACAACTTCATTGGTACACCGTTTACAAAGAAGGACAGACACAGCTTTGTGTCAGGCAGGTACAGTGAAAGTTCACAGGGCCAAAGGCAGCCAGACTCATTGTAATGCTTTGGTGGACTCATGAACCACACCGGACTAGACTGATCTACCTGGCAGTTTTAGGGTAAATAGACTGAAAATGCCAGGGACTTATCACTTATCATCACTATGGCAAAGACACAAAGCTACATGAGGGAACTGAAGCATCACTGACTATGGCAGGGTCAGTTTTTAACATCAGAATGAGCAAGTTGGGAGGCATAGACTTGAATCTTATTCAGCTGACAGCCCATCAAGCTTCTGCAAACAGAGCACGGCTGATCCCAAGTCAGTGACAGGCTTACTTGGTGAGCACACCGAGCCCCACCAGCTCGCGTGTGCAGGCCTCGACGAAGCGTTGAGGCCCAGACTGCTGCCGTAGGCTGCCCATGAAACTGAGGACAGTCTCGCTGCGCAGAACCTTGTGGCTGACGTCCATGGACAACATGATACTTGACTCATACTGTAGGATGGTGGTGGTAAAGCCGGGCCAAATGGTCAACCTATAAACACAAGCCCGTGCACAAGGACCAAGTGTGTCATCTTCTGTCCGTTTTAGGCCACTTGCCAAAGCTCACACCCTCCATTCTGCCCGCTGACCTGTGCTGCGGGATGTTCAAGGGATCCTGCGGGTTGTAGTAATGCCGGCCGATCTGCTGCATGTTCAAAGTTCTCAGGATCCTGCAAGATGATCATGAGTAGTCCACAACATGTCCTACCTGACACCAGTACTACTGTCAAAATTTGCCTCTTGTAGTATCATATGGGAAGGTGTCCGGTTCTGTTTGGCTCTCTGGGGTGGGAGATCTAAGATCAGAAGGTTGCAGGTTCAATTCCCTTTACTGGCAGAGTAATGTAATAGTTGTGCCCTTGAGCAAGGCACTTAACCCCAACTGCTCCAGGGACTGGCAGACACTTCTCCCTGATCCCCACTTTGGAAAAAAGCCTCTGCTAAACATAAAATGAGAAGAGGATATGAGGTCTGTACATTGGGTTTTGCAACCCACCGCCTGAAGATGATGTTGTAGAATTGGAGGCAGACCGGGGAGGTGGGGGGCAGCTCGTTGGTCAGAGTCACCGTGATCTTCACCTTCTCGCCATGCTTGGTCTCGCTGAAAAGGACCGTCTCCTGCACGACATTTGGAGGGTCAGGACCATAGGGGGGCGACCATGAGCATGGTGGAAGGGAGAAGTTAAGCCCAAGCACCAGATTAGCCATATGACCACTGCGGTGGTATATCAGCAGAGTGCACCACATTAACCTGCACAGCACCAGACACCCGCATTTACTGTCGATAACACTATGACCAGCTATGCAGAAACTGGACAGCCAAGGTCAGCACAGTCCTGCCTAGGTAACAGGGTGGCCACAGGGACAGAGTTACCGTCTGCTGGAGGCGCTGGGGTAGGAAGAGGGCAGCACCGTCAAAGGTGCGCGCGGAACCCAGTGCCTCCTCGTGCTGGAAGAGCAGAGCAGAGCGCAAGCGCCGTGCTTCCATCGGGGGGTTGAAGTCTACGTGGTACTGGTACAGCACCCACTGTGGGCGGGATACGAGGCGGAAGAAGTTGGCCCTCAGCTCGATGGGGGACCCGGAGACACCTGGGGGGCAGGGCATAGTGTCTCAAAGGTGTAACGCTGTATTCTTACTTGGACTATTTGAAATGTTTTTTTTTTTTTTTTAATAATCATTTTTATTTGTTATATATAAAATGAAAAATGAGATGAAATTTACCCAAAATAAACTATAGCCAAACAGAACTTATTTATTAATGTGTGTCAAATAAGTTGGTCAACAACAAAAGCAGCGCCGACAAATCACTTTGCTCAATATCGTCTCCATGAAATACCAGATACTTTCATACAGCATGTGCAAAACAGCTGTGCTGCATCATTTGTTTGTTTTTGTAATAGAAATACTTTTGGGTGGTAAATTTGTTAATTACTTTCTGTTCTTGACTAAAATGTAACAGTTCTACCTAGCCCATAGGGTACATAAATGAATGTGCACCAAGTACAATTTACAGAAAGAAGCGGGTCGGGTACCTTTTTGCCTATTCACAGTTGTGATCAAGTTGAATTAAAGCACAGGGAGAGTTTGGATTGCTCCTGAATGGACCTGTGCATCACTGGCTAGGTTGAGTTCCAATTTGAAAGGGCCACTTATCTTGAGATGTTTCTTTGAATTCGAAGTGGACTCTTTCAATGCAGACTAATTTTGACGCATTGGAAGGAACAAGGAAAAGTTTGTACACGATTTCAAAAACAGGCATATTTTAAAAAGATTTATAATTTTTTTTATTACAGCGGATCGATTCTACCTAAATTATAAATATTTTCTTCAAAATGTAACATGGACTCAATATACTTAATTTTTGGATTCTGAATACATACTGCCATTGCTTGTATTCCGTTGCATCCCAATCCTTTGTGTACAACATGCAATGTCAATATTAATACTGCACATTTTACTGCTCTTTCAAGATTGCGATTGGTGTTCTGCTGCAGAGTCTGCATGTCACTCACTAGCAACAAACTCTGCATCCAAAAACCTGAATACACAGAGCAATTTATATCAGACTTCTTTTGTAGATTAGTCATGGAAAACGTGAACTGCACAAGTTGTCATTTTGTATTCAGGAGCAAAAACATTGTAGCAAGACGTTTTTGATTTACTTGCCTTACTTGATGTTGCACGTCCTGCCATATGATTATTGTGCATATGCACATCGCAACGTCAGTGCTGAAACATATCAGCCCTAATTCTTACCTGTCTATCGACTCTTTTTATCTGGGGAAGAGGCACAATCTCAGATGTATGCACTGCTGAATTCCTATCCACCTAATGATTGATTTTATCTGGGGGAGAGGCACAATCTCAGATGTATGCACTGCTGAATTCCTATCCACCTAATGATTGATTTTATCTGGGGGAGAGGCACAATCTCAGATGTATGCAACGCTGAATTCTTACCTGGCAAATGACTCAAAGTTACCTAGGGGACGGCGCACAGATTGTTGAACATGTACTTACTCTTCCTAGTCACACAAATGACTCTTTAAATGGACAGATGATTTATCATTAAAAGTATGACTCAATGATTCAGTGTGATGAAAAACCTAGACTGGCTTATGATTCCAGATTTGAGCATCACACTACAGCCGATCCTGTCTATCCAACTACATCTTGTAGCTAGCATCACTATGGCTGATTTGCTGGATGATTTTAACTGATGCAGGCATCTGTGTACTAATAACTATATTTCTGGGCCTAATTACTTTGAGCTGAGGAAAACGTAGACACGGTTAGGTTCTGCAGGCTGACATGCTCACAAGTGTGAGTCTCATACAGAACCAGAATGTGTCAGTGTGCCCTGGCTTATCCTCCTATGGTCCCAAGGACATGCAGTAAGGTTGACTGAAGTGGCTTCTTTGTGAGAGTGTTCCCCACCTATTTCCAAGCACACCTACCAGTCTTGGACTCCCTCACATGTTCCATGGCCTGCCGGGTATTGATCCCGGTGTCATAGAAGTCCCGCCTCCGGCCCCCTCGTTCGCCTATCTTCACCTGCTGGAAACCAGCAGATATCTGGAAGACGGCTGTATGGGAACATAACGTAAGATGTGGGCCTACCCTCCTAATATGGTTTCTTGCTCTGCTTTTAAATCCCTCATAACAGTGTTTTGCTCTGCTTTTAACCCCCCCCCCCAAAACATTAGTCTATTAAGGTGCTTTAAAACTCACATTACAATCTTACTCAGCATTTAACCCCCCCCCCCTGTTTGTTTTTCACTCCGGTGTAACACCCCCCCGGGCCAATTATGTTTTACAGGCACCCAGATTAAAATTACCGATTTACGAACAGCTCCTGCTTAGGAAGACTGCCAAATTCGGGTTAAATACAATGGCTGGCATTAAGGAACGCACAAACTACTTTGTGAACCTCATCGAAACACTGCGCGGCTTCCGCTTTTCGTCGGCTTGAGGTACACTACCGTACTTTTATTATCACTGTACCTAGAGCTGGGCGATAAATCGATTTATTAATTAATTAGAATTTTTTAAGACGATGTGCAAAATGAAAATCGGGATTCACGTGGATTTATTGTAGTTTCAGGTTAATACAACTGAGTAAATGATGCTCACAAAATTTTTTATACTGCAAAAAAAAAAGTGAGGTACATTAAATTATAGCAAACCAGACCGCAGTCAAGGCTTCCCACCCGTTCGGAGAACAATGGACGACAATAGGAGAATGGCAGCACACGCGTTAACAAGTGATGAGCTCGTCTGGAAAACAGGCAGCGTCACCTCCGTCATTTGTAAGTGGTTTGGTTTCGCCAAACCCCGAACGAACTACTGTCCGCTGTAAAGTTTGTTTCAAGTCGTTGGCTACCAAAGGTAGCAGCACAACAAACATTTCATAATCTCCATCAGAGGCACGCATCAGAATGGACGGACTGCCTAGGTATGCGAGAAGCACAAGCAAGCGACAACTTCCAAAACCCAGCTTAAATTCAGATAACGATAGCAGCGTCTTTTTTGCGTTGCGTACCATACGATAAGAAGGGACCCCAATGGAAAGAAATTATAGATGCGGTGACATTTCATATCGCCAAAGATATGGCGCCCATTCACACTTAAAAAATGCGGGTTTGCCTATAGATGCTAAAAACGATCGACCCCAAATATGAGCTCCCAAGCCGAAAGTATTTTACATAAGTAGCCCTACCCCGCTTATAAAGTAGTACACGTGAAAAAACCGCGAAGCTGCTAGAGAATGTGCTGTTTTACTCAACTACCTCAGCATTTTGTGGCGAACGATTGTTTTCCCTCAGCAACGTTTTTCGCCCAGGGGCTGAAAGATTCACTGGCCGCATGGAATCTCCGTGTAAACTACTAAGACCAGGAAAAAATACAGGAAAAGCAAAATGTTTGCTGTTCCTAAATCATGCTTGTATTGTTACAATTGGAAATTTGGTCCAAGTTAAAAAAAAATTGGAGATATTACTTTTAGGCGATATCGCCCAGCCCTAACTGTACCATTATAATTATGTATTTTATTATTTTTACTACAAATTCGACTTAAAGACAAACTTAGGGAACGAATTTCGTTCGTAACCTTGGCACCGCCTGTACTCCGCTTTTAACACACGCATTACGGTGTCCCACTCCACTTTTAACTGCCCATCACGGTGTTTTTCTCTGCTTTCAGTCGCGCCCGTTCCTTACTCTCCGCGCCCAGGGCTCCCGGTGCCATCCTCTGCCTCCCTCGGCCTACCAGCTCGGCGCCCGGTCTCTGGGGCTCCTGCGGCGGGACCTGCGGCGGTGGCGGCTAAAGACATGAAACCGTAACGTTATCCGTCCTGGTGAGGTATTTTTATCTCTTAAATTTCAATTAAATTTAATATTAAGTTCACACAAGTGGCATGCATGTAAGCGGCTCACCGCGCCCGGAGTCGCGCCCTCCGGACCCCGGGCTCGACCCCTGGACCTGGCCCTGGCTCTCCCGGTCATCCTCAGCGTCGAACCTGGGTGCGAGAAGAGCCGTATAACACTGTCCGGCTCCAACCGGGCCGAACTTTTCCAAACGTGAAGCGGTGGTTTGAGATTTCACTCAGTTAAGTTTAACGAGAAAACCTAAAATGGAGTGTTACAGCACTGTTTTCGGTAGTTATGTAAAATTGTAATATATTGACGTACACAGTTACTCTGGGTATTTTTAAGAGATTCTTGTACAGATTCTTCCCACAGACTCCCCAGCAGTTTCGACTAAGTGCAGTTAACGCCGCGCACGCGCCCGAAACCGCGGGCTTTCCGTTTGGAAGCGTGGGCGGGCGTGTGCGGGTGCGCGCGTGCGCAGGGCCGTTTCACGCGTTTCTGACATAATTATTCTTGCTAGTATGTTTGAATACTCGGGCGTACCAAAGGATGTATGGTGTATTTCCTCCACTGTACATAATTTAATATATCGCACATACGTTAAACAGTACTGCGCTGTCTGGAAAAATTAAAATTGTAACGCAGAATACAAAGGAAGTTGTTGAAATCATTGCAACGGTATCTTACTGTGTAAATAGAGAAGAGGCAGATGCCTCAAGATGCTGAATCTGATGGCAATGTGGAGCCTCCGCTGGTTGTGTCAAATCTGAATGTACGAGGTTCTGCTGTTCCCTTTAAGTATTCCCCACCTTTATATGAGTAAAAGAGGATCTTATTTGTTTGCACAGTATATGTCTAGTGTATAATCTTGTGAATCTGTTACTTTTTCTAATCTGTGGAAGAAATAAGTAAACCATTTGTGTTTACTTCTTTCTTATATATCAAACGAAAAATGTAGCAGATTGTAGTTACTCCCTAACCCCACCAATGATCTCTCCTTCCTTGTGTCATACAATACTCCCACCCCCATCTACAGTATATCTGTTACAGGAGGTGTCTTACCCTGGAGCAGGAGGGCAAAGAATGGGCCTGCAGTTCCCACCTGAAGTTCCTGTGGCTTCAGTAAGATAAAGCTTCTGTTTATACTTAATGATGTGGATAGACAATAGCAGGAAGATGCTGTTTGCTCCTTCACAGTGACCCCGATTGACAAACACAGGATTAATGTCTGTGTGTAGTGCATCAACTCAAAGGCCCCCCGCATCAAGCTGTCTTTGAACCAGCAATGACTTTGGTAAAGTGCACCTCATTCTACAGTGTACAGGGGCCTCGATTCTGAGCCACACTGCCGCACTACCAATGTCACTGTGAACCTTCCACCCAGAAGTTCTCCTTTCTGATGCTATGTGAAAGCTTGAGACTTTGGTGTACCTGTGTTTGGAAGGTTGCTTTTGAGCAAGGCCCTCAACCTCCAGAAATACTCCAGACCCCAAGCTTCACTCTCACCTATACGTGTAAATATCTCAAAGGAGAGGAAGATGGGATATGCGAAAACTAACACATTCTAGTGTCCCTGTCCTCATACTTTTCATATTTCACCTGCACAGTTATATTGAGTGCAATGTGCAGAGAAATACACATCGCCTAGCCCCAGACTGGAAGAAAAATGACGTAAGTTTAATAGAAAAGAGGAGACAAGACATAATGTATTACAAATATTAGGCATTAAATATTAATCATAAATATCTATAATGTGGAAAATTGGCAGGAAATGGAGGTAGTGAGTAGGGCTGCAGCTATCGATTATTTTAGTAATCGAGTATTCTATCGATTATTTTAGTAATCGAGTATTCTATCGATTATTTTAGTAATCGAGTATTCTATCGATTATTCCAACGAGTAATCGGATAAGAAATACTTTTGTCTTATTAAAGAGCTATAGTATCTATTCAAAAGAGGAAAAACAGACAGGTCTCTTAAAATGAACAACTCATGGGTTTCCTTTTTTAGGAACATTTTTAATGATTGAACTCCATACAACAACTGACAAAAGAACTAAACCCTTATAGTGCATTTATGTACATATTTATTTTGTTTTGTTTTTTTTTTTTTTAAAGAAAACACTTTCTTAAATGCAAAAATAAATAAAGCAATGTCAAATAAAATTACTGAAAAAAGGTATACATATATCTTAAACTAAGGCATAAATTAAAATGGCCTTTATTCTCTGTATTCTTGTACATTTATAGGAGGCATAAAAAAAAAGTTCTGACAGGATTGTATCTCCTGAATGAGGTATGTATGGTGTTCGTGTTCATGTGTGTGTAAGTGAATGTGAGTGAGCACATTGCTCAAAATGCTGTCGGTCAACTCAGCAGCTTGCTGAACTGAACATGGTGCAGCTGCCCAAACAAAGCTGTCCATAAGACACTGTGATTTACTGAGAAAGAGAGGAAATAATGATAATTCAGTGTCTCAGAGTTTTACTGGCCCAAGGCTGTTGGGATAGGGGGTGGGTAATTTTTATATTATATTATTTATATTATTATAGTTATGTAATATTATTCATATTAATCTAAATCTGCAAAATAATATTACTAAAGCCTTGAAATAGATCTAGTTGAGTACACCCCATCTCTGAGCAAACCTGCTACATCTAATGCAGTGTACTGTAAGCACACTGCAACAGTAATGATTCTTCGAGTGAAACACGTTGATCACTAAGCAGCACATAGTCGTGCGGATTACACGAAGCATCGAAGCAAAGAATTTGCATTGAGGATTTTTTGTAATGGAGTTATTTGAGTTACTTGATGAATCATGAAGCCCTAGTAGTGAGAGGGTCCAGGAATCAATAAGTATTTATATATGTACATGTGTGGAATAAGTAGGCTGTTGAGAACATTGGTACATAGGTCTTAAACACTGTGCTCATTTTCCTTTCAGAGATCCCTGGCTGGACCCAGAAAATTCCATCCTGCCCCATGTTGTTCCAGTTATTCCTGGATGCTCCAGCTTGTCCTGCTTCTTCAGGCATCTCTAGATTCAAGATTCAAGATTCAAGATTCTTTATTTGTCACATGTAGTTATAGCTGGTACAACATACAGTGAAATGTGTTTCCCTGGCTGAACTCCGACTGTGCTAGACGTAGGATAAGTGTATAAGTACTAACAGAGGATAAGTATAAAAAGAGGAAAAATGAATTTATATACATCTATATACAGAAGTAAATATGCATTTACCATGTAATCTCTAGCTGAGATTTTAGGTGAATGACTTATGTCTATATATGACCAGTCCATAAATATGTCAGCATGTGAGGCAGGGCACAGATTTGTTCATGGAGAGTCAGCTGAATAACGATGCACCTGCTCGCCAGCGCCACAGATTCCACCTTGTCTCCTACAGGACATATCGGCAGGTCTGACTCGACCCCGCTGTCTCTCTCGACCATCGATCTGTTAACTGGTGGATCGTACGACTTTGGGCCATCAGTTAATGGTGTTAACCTTCATCAGTTGGACAGCCATTGGCTACAGCCACCTCCATCGTCAGGAAGAACAGAGATAGACAAACAGCAGAAAAAAAGCATTGATGGAAGCTCTCTGTAATTATTGATAATGTGTATGCAAGTCTGCCGGTGTCTGTCTGTCTAGTAAAGCTTCAGAATTATATACTGTCTGTCATTCTGTCTCCTTTTCCCTCCGTTCATCCCTTATTCCTAATCTTGACCATCAGCTGACATCTCTCTCTGAGGGCAGGTACTCCGCTGGTTCACAGACAACCAAGCATAAGCATGACCTTGGACTTCACTCACCTTCCTCACCATTCAGAGAATCGCCAGAGCACACAAAAGACACGGTCACAATAGGCCCAGGAACGTTGTCCGATTATCTGCTTTAAAATGTGTCACTTGGTAAGCAAGTGAAAGTAAGAATTGTTTCTGATTGAGCTCAGTGTTTTGTGAGGCACTTTTAATGGAAGGATTCAGAAAACAGGAGACATGATCTTTAAAAAATAGAGTCTAGAGTAAGGGAGCATCAGGCTGTAATCCACATGTCAGCAGATGAAATGTGGTAAATGCTGATCATTTGCGTGCTGCAGGGAACATCAAGCTGGTGCTGCACACACTCCCTCCTCGCCGGAGTCTGAATGCTCTTCGTCAGGTTGTGCTGCGCACTGCGGCTTGCGGCCCTGATGGCTGAAATGTCTTCGTCAGGTTGTGCTGCGCTCTGCGGCTGGCAGCGCCAGTGGCTGAAATGTCTTCGTCAGGTTATACTGCGGCTTGCGGCCCTGGTGGCTGAAATGTCTTCCCCGGAGCAGCCAGTGACTTTCTGTCATTTTCTGTCGGCTCTGCTCTCCAGGGTGTCATCCTGGTCCATCATGCCTCTGATGCTGCCCCCTGCATTGCAGTTAATCCAGTCCAGCTTTGGTGTGGCTCTGCAATGAAAATGAACTGAATTGGCATAATCTAATTTAAATAGCTGTTTTTTAAAAGAACTGATGGGCTACTCTGATAAATTGGTGTAAATAGGATGAAAAGCTGCAATTTTAATGAAGAATAACAGCCTATGTGAGATTAGTGTACTTAGGTACCATTATTAAGTGCTGTTATTCTGTTTTGGACACACTTACATTGAACCCTTCAGTGTGCAGCTGGCCCCTTACACCTGAAAAAACCTCACTTCTAAAAGCAAATTAAGGCAATTAAATATAATTTTCTTTCCTTTGAGCATGAGGTTCGGCACAAGAGCCAATGTCACTGACGAGCCTTGAATGGCGTGATACCGTCAGCCATTGCGAAGCTGCTTGAAAGATGACATTTGAGATGCCTGGATCAGGGCCAGTTGAGGCTGGTCCTCAGCTTCCTCCGAATCGTTGTGCTCTCTGAGGTCACAGGCCCTGCATCTCCTCTGGGCAAATAGTGTACGCTCCTCTGCCTCTCCGGCTCCTCTCAGCCACAGTACGTGGATGTCAAGTCTTCCTGTATGTGAGCCTCAGCAGACAGGCCCTCTGTGCCTATGAAGGATGCTGGCTTGAATCCTGTCCATGGCAGAATAGTCACATGTCTGTGGAGCCCTTGAATAAGGCTCTTAACAGCCTGATAAATGGCTGACCCAGCACTCAGACCCCAAGCTGCCCTGTGTGTGGATGTGTCCCCACAGGAGAGTATGATGGCATACAGTGAGGGAAATAATTATTTGACCTCCAGCTGAATTCTTAAATTGACCCATTAATAAAGAAATGAGAAGTCTATAACATCCCTGGTAGGTTTATTTTAACAGCAAAAGATAAATATATCAACAAAACAAGCCAGAAAAAATCATTATGTAACAGTTACAAACCAATTTGTAATTTATTTAGGGAAATAAGTATTTGATCCCTTGGAAAACATGCTTTAGTACTTGGTGGAGTAACCACTGTTGGCAAGCACAACTGTCAGATGTTTCTTGTAGTTG